CGTTTTACTGACAGTTCATAGGATTATCCGTGTCTTTGTAGGAATTCGCCTGCGTCTGACGTCCTTCTGATGATCAGATTCGCTGTTGGAACAAACCTACTATCTTACAGACTCACGTATCGGGGACAACACTAATTATTTGTAGTGCGCATGTCGTACGCGTTTTATTTGTACATCGGTCTCCTTTTAACAGAGTAGGTGAGCTGTGTCCAGGCCGTTGGTGTTTATGCCGGTCGGCGTAGCCAGGTATGGATTGAAATTTTCTGGTGGCGGCGAAGCCGTCACCCTACGAGAAGTCGTTGCTTCGTCTTTGGTATTGTCCCATTTAAATTTTTGCCGATTTAGTATATGGTCCAGCACTGCTAAAATGTCATTTACGTAGACTCCAATTAGTACAGAACTCTTGTGTGCGTATGATTTCTGGTTTAAAAAGACGCGACCATATCTCTGAAGCTTTAACTGAGTTAGGGTGGCTAAATATTGAAAAACGAATCTTGTTAGATTCGTTTTATATTTTATCATAAATTATTTATCTATAAAGAACCATCGTATCTTTTCACAATAAAGTACAATTTAGATCAGACGTACGTTTTCGCTCTTACTTGACACCACCTATTCACTCTACTTCCCTTTTCGAATCATCCTTTTCGTACAATATAATCAGGCTATACAACAGGTTTCCGAGACATCTTCTTACTTGCTCATTGAGCATTCTAAAAAATAAAATAAAAAACATGCTATTTACTAATGAACTAACATTCTAGACTTGTGCTTTATATTTTCGTTGTCTACTTATTATATTTCTACGTTATTAACATGGAATGACTTAGCTTGTTTTTATTTAGCTTATTATTATCATTATTATTTTTAATTAGTTTAGTTAAATAGGTTGAGTGGAAGAGAGGACTTTAGACTTAACTCTACCTTTTGGCAAATATTCTGTTATACTTATCTGTATTTTGTTCTTTCTCAATAAAAGCTTTTATTATAATTTTAGCCTCGTGAATTACTTTTTAGTAATTATTTAGATAGCACCCAACAGTACTCATGGTATTTCTTGCTCAACGAGCCTAAACGCCAAACCCTGCTTCCAGGTAGATAGATGATAACTGGCTGATTGTATAAGCAAGCACAGCTTATACAATACAGCTAAAACACTCTCTTGGCGGCAACGGTTTGCGTCGATTTCGTCGCGCATCGCTTAAGCTCCGCCTTCGAAGGGAAAAGACGGTTTTGGTGTTCAGAAGCGTACTTAGGTAAGGTGTTGAGTCGTGCGTATAATTTCGTTGATTGTATAATTTCGTAGAGCCTATAATTTCGTTGATTGTATAATTTCGTGGAGCCTATAATTTCGTTGATTTTGTTTGAGTTAAAGGTACTGTTATTATTTTGGTGACTCTTTAGCTATGAGTAGAATGAGTGAAAAAAAAAGACATCATTCTGTTTGTGCAGTCAAAAGCTGTTTTAATAAGGGTTATACCTGCAAGAAAACATTCTTTAGTTTTCCCAAGGACCCAAACCGATAAGTACATTATAAGAAATTTTCATTGTTAAAAATATAATTTATACAGGGTATCCCATTAGTGCGTTATTATTCATTATTTTGTTGTAGACACGCAAGAAAGTTTTAAATAAAAGTTATATGGATTTGAAAAATACCTACATATTTTAAAAATATCTTTGGATATACAGGGTGTCACGTTTTTGCCTGGCAAATTAAAATGTATGTTTTTTAAATGGAACACCTTGTATTTTATTTTATGATAAAATTATTAACACCCTAAATTATTGTAAAGACGAATTGATACAGAAAATTTTTATCAGGTATGTGTGTGGTTACCTTTTAATAAAAGCCTTGCGGATCCACTCCTCTGCGATACCTGTCTTAAATATAACAAAGATCACGTTGAATTAGATGATTTTTATTTTTATTGCTTTTTAAAGGCATATGATAACGCCAATCCAGATACATTTGGAAATCTGCAACTGTCAAATGATGAATTTGTAGAACTAATATTCAATATTGAAAAGATATTTCAAAATAATTTTGAAGAATTGGCTACAAAAAATAACATTTGTACCACACTTTTAGAATTAATTAACCCAATACCCTTTAGTCATCCATGCTAACGTTTTCCAAAAGAATAACTTATTTTATTGTATGTTTAATCTCAATAACTAAAAAATATACTGACAATTAGTTTGACAGAATTGTCATTTATTTAAAATTTTAAAAATAATAGCAGTCGGTTGATCAAAATATGAACGGTGATTGGCGAATTTATTTTTTTTTGCAGTGTTCTCACTACCTAGAATGGATATGAAATATATTCGTTCAATTGAAGGCAATAGCATACTTTTTCGTTTTGTAATCTGTGCATGGATATTAGCCAATCTATGCACATACTACAAAACGAAAAAGTATGTTATTGCGTTCAACTACGAATATATTTCATATCCATTTTAGGTAGTGAGAACACTTTAACAAAATTAAATCTACAAATCACAGTTCATATTTTGGTCACCCAACTCCTATTATTTAAATTTTTTTAAATAAGTGACAATTCTGTTAAACTAATTGTCAATATATATTTTAGTTAAATTAAAATTTTTGTGTAGACTCGATAAATAATAGCATTTTTGTTTATATTGTGTCCACATTTAAAAAAAAAATAAATTTTAATCAAACTACATGATACTAATTTAATTACGAGTATTAAAACTAAAGTCCTGAAAGTTTCGGTGAAGATGAGGACAGAGCATCTGCCTTCCACGCGAAAAGCCCGGGATCGAATCTAGGCCGAGGACTAATTAATTTTTCATGTTAATTTTATTTTATAAATTAGTCAACTTCGTAAATTATTTTAAAATTAGTTATTTTGTCTAAATAACCTAAAATAATTTTTTAAATTTGTAGATTTTCGTTAGTGGGTCGTAGAAAAAATATACTGACCATATCGAGTGGATTGTTAATATCACAATCAGATGATTGAGTACTCCGCATACGACGTCGTGCTCAAACTTCGTCTTTGTGTGATATTGCTATCATATCCACCCTTGTTGAACAAACTATAATTTATTTGTTTTCTTGGTTTAAACCAAAACTTAAGTTTTACATCAGAAATAGGAACTAAATTAATTTACTTTTCAAGTTTTCTTATAAAAATCGATATTACTTTCTCCAAGTACAAATTTAGTACCTACCTAAAATAAGTACTAATTATGTAATATCGTGTAATATTGTAATTCAAATTTCACATTAATATAAAGTTTCAAAATTCCCTACTTCGGTATGGTCAGATAAAAATTGAATATATTATATTAATAAAAACTGTCAAAGTATTACTTCTACAAATCTGTATTTCAATTAATAAGAATACATCTAAATATAACCAATATTGTTAAAATAAAAGCACAAATTCTTTATAATTCCAAAATACGATAGAGTTCCCAGACCTCAGTCGAAGCATTCGTTTATCTAGGTATAAACCCTTTGCGCGAAGAGTAACACTTGCCAGAGACACGGGGTACCACTTGATTTGCATCCACGAGCGTGACACAATTCTTTAACAATTGAAGCCCTTGGTGTAAAAAGGATCCAAGCCACAATTTGTCGTGAAGTGACTGTTTTAGCTCAAAACATTTGTTAACGAGGATTTTACTAGCCACATACAAATTATTTTACCTCTAATCCGAAAGATGTGCTATTTTTCGTAATATTTATATTTAAATAATGTTTCTAATTATATTTGACAGATTTAAAACAAATTAAAAATTTAATTTCCCAAAACTTACTTAGGACCGATTCCACCGTTGTGTTAAACGGAGTTTTAAATGATATTTTTACATTAACAATGTCATTTTAATCTCCGTTTAACACAACGGTGGAATCGGTCCTTAATATGGCATGTAACCAACCTTATTACGCAAAGGTTTTCAATTTTTTCAATAATAAAAAAATTGTTTAATCCGGGCCCGACTTTTCCATCGAATTTAACAGAGATAGCACCATTCCGTCTTGCTTGGTTCTCGACCGCCAGATCAAAGACGCCGACACGGAGTTGTGGAGCTGTATTGTATAAGCTGTGGTAAAAGTGTGGTTGTCTATTTTTACAACATTGACATTGCACTGCTTGTATTCGTTTCCGCTAATCGCAGCCCAAGCACTTGTGGTTGATTCAATTATAAGATCGTAAACGAATTTCTAGAAAAGATAGGACATCGGCTGCCCAAATAAATCTCCCACTACACGAAATTTCCCTTTATCAGGAATATTGAGTGCGGCGATAATTAAATTTTAAATTATTTTAATACAAATTTTATACAGAATGTCACACATTCCAAATAACATTTTAAAATGTTAAAATACACAAAACAGAAACATTGATTCTTAAACAAACAAACAAATAAATATATAATGTTTAATCATTATTTCATAAAATATAAAGGTGAATCGCTTCATTTTCACCAATTCCTTTAAATGCACTAATCTAAAACAAATTATTTGATTAAAAATAGTTCTAATAATATTGTTTTAAGCTAACTATAATAAAACAAACATGAACTAAAGAAAATCTGAAGCTCCCCTTTTCAGAGCTGTAGAACTAATAAATAAAACTAGCTGGAGTAACAGCAAATGTAGGTTATATTTAGATAAAAATAAGAGTAAAACTGCCTGTAAATTAGATGAAACGAAATGGCGTCACTCCTCTCAGTGAATGAGATAATGTAAAACTTTAGGTTTTTCTAATATTTCTGTAGTACTCACCTCAATTTCTAAAGACATATTCTGCTTCCCATATAACAGCACAAAGCATAAATAAAATCAATTTTTTTTTTTCGAACAACCTTTTTTCACAAAATTCCGCCAATCATTTTCAACCGCTTCTGTAAAATTTCAGTTTTAACACTTACCTGGTTTTTAGTGCGACAATCAGCATTTTTAATTTTATTTTTTCAAACAGGTCAGGGTGAAAGTATACAAAATAAAACAAAAAAAATCGAATAAAAATAATGTAATAAGTAATAATCTTTGAAATAGTAAAATTGTTTAAAATATGTATCTAGATATTAAATCTTATAAAGTTAGACATTCACATCTGTTGTGTGGAGTTTCCGTTCCATGTGTTGTTTTCATCATCGCTATCGTTCGTATCAGACAATCTGTGAATGTTTCCTTGACGTCTCACCACGGTACTTGGATCTGTTACCTTTCTCTTCGAATTGGAAAACCTGGAATTAGAGCTAGATTTTGATTGTCTTGTAGAATCTTGGAGTATTAGAAAAGCAAGTATTAATAGCGTAATTTTCATTTGGACAAAACTGAACAAAACAGGTAGAAGTGCTCAAAATAACACTATTACAAATCATTGTATCAGCATATATTTTGTTGTATTTGTGTTGATTTTCAAAAAATTATTGTAACACCTTTAATAGAATGTCGAAACCGCTTATGGAATATAATTATTTTGTCTCATTTTAGAAAATTTTAAAAAACGCTGGGACATGTAAACTTTTGTACGTTCTTTGAATGAAAATATAAATATACGCAAGTCTAGGACTTTCGGTACCAGAGTTGGGTAGTATTTGAATACCCAGAATACATTTGGCTGGTATTCGAATACTATTCGAATACATTTGTGTTTTCTGTATTCGGTATTCCACTGAATACTTTTTTAGTCAGTACTCGGTATTTTGGATTCAGAATACCATTTTTGAATCCTAGTATTCGAATACCCACTTTGTATTCGAATCCCGGTATTCGAATCCAGTTTTCGAATAATGTTTGATTATTTCTATGAATATTGCGTTACGTGTTACGTTTAACTAAACTTAAGCGTATTAAAACACGTTACGTTCTCGGTGGTTGTGGACGGCGCAGTCGCAGTGCTTCTGAATTCGCGATGCCGACGATTAGGTGATCGGGGTGAAAATATCGATGCGCTAGTCATACGCTTAATCTTTTAGCAACAAGTGATGTAAACTCCGTAATAAACTCTAACATTTATTTGAGATCCCGACATACAGCTATTTTAAACAAGTGCAATGGCTTTGGAAGTGCGCTGCAAGACCCAAGAGTGAAGAAATGCTTCAAAAGATAATTGGTCATACTTTAAGTTACCCAACAGTTACTCGCTGGAACTCGTTTTTTAATTCAATTTCTCAAATATTATCTATATCCAAGGATAACCTAACCAAATTATATAAAGAGTTAAACCTTAAAGAAAATCTTAAAGATGCAGATTTTCTTTATCTGCAAGAATATTTTGAAACCAATTGCTGAAACAGTAGATTTTCTACAAGGAGACACTCACACATATTTTGGTTATTTAATACCAAGTATAACTTCTTTAAAGACGAAACTGATTAAAGTTAAATCAAGCATGACCCTTAATAGGAGTATCAGCTTAATTTTAGAACACATAATTAATCGCGTCAATGACAGATTTAAACAGTACTTTGACCTTACAAAAACCAAAGCAAAAGATGCAATAATTGCTGCAGCAACTTGTCCGACTATTAAATTTCATCGCAGTTTGGATTAGACATTGAGGAATTAAAACATATTATTATTGATGCTGGTGTGGAATTCCAAATAGATATTCAAAAACCAGATTTTAATGGAGAAGAATCATTATTAAATTTTTCGAATTTGAAAGTGAAGAGAATCCGGAAAAAAATAGCGATTTAATTTCTCGGGATAATAGGGATAAACTAAAAGGAAAAATTCAACTTAACCTTTTGCAATATCTTGAAGATAAAAGATTAGGTTTAGAAATGCTTAATGATTACCTTTCAATTAAACAAATATTTTTAAGATATAACTCCATATTACCGTCGTCTGCTTCAGTCGAACGATTGTTTTCTTTTGCGGGTATGGCTAATAGGCCAAAAAGTAAAAATTTAAGTGGCGATCTTTTTGAAATGTTGGTTTTGTTGAAGGCAAACGGGATAGGAAATGCTTTTTGATTGATGTTGTCTTTCTGATATCTAAGTACTAGTGCGCCGTTATGAATGTTATATTATATTTTATTTAAAACAAAAAGAATTTATTTTAAGTTATTTATTATTTAAGATTATTTTTCAATGCAAGGATAGCTTCTTTTGCTAAGCAATTCTATTGTATTACCTTACTGTGTTCCAATCTCCAATGAATGAACCAAAGAATGTATTTTAAGATTTATTTATTATACAGGGTGTCCGACGAGATAAGCCTCGGACCATAACTCCATAACGGTGCAATTTTCAAAAATTTTGTAATAGTCCTTTTTTATGTATATTCAAAAAAGCCATCTTTTAAAATTAGTTTTCGAAAATTGCACCGTTGTGAAGTTATGGTCCGAGGCGTATCTCGTGGGACACCCTGTATAAGTAAGTAGGTTGTAGGGTATAGATTATAGATAATGGGAATTGTTTATTTTTTATTAAACAATAAATTTGTGTTTTTATCTGACGGTGTACCAAAGAATTATATTTTAACTTTTTCATTATTTTATCGTTTTATTTATAATTTTTTAATAAAACTTTAAGAAAAAAAATCAACAAATGTTTTTTAATTATCAATTATTTTATTTAACCTCACTGTGACACTGTGTATCAAAAAATGATATTTCAAGTTTTATTTAACGTAGAGTTGGGTAGTATTCGAATATAGATTTTTTTAATTCTTTTTATATTTTTATAAATTAACTACATAAATAATAATCAAGCTTCATGTGCGCACATGTTATTTGTAGTTGGAATATTCATAAAGTATTCATATGTAAATGAATCCAGGTATTCGAATACAGTGGTATTCAAATACTTTTTTTTCTTTTTATTCGAATATTGATTATTCGAATACAATTTAGAATACAGTATTCAGGATTCGTATTCGAATACCGGATTTCAGTATTCGACCCAACTCTGTTCGGTACTATTTTTTTTACTGGAACATCATGTATCATTTTATATTTTTGAAAGTTCATAATAAGCTGACTTCAACGAACTACACTGGCAAGCAAAAAATTGATGTCACTTCAGAAATTGCGAATAATTTTAGCGTCAATATTGATGAGGACATAATAGTATTAGTAGGCGTTGAAGCAATTGTTTTCCGAGACTTGACAGCTATCATTCGATTTATTTGAATTTATGAAAAATGTGCCTTTACGCTAATTGAACATTCACATTTCCCTTGCCTGTTTTCCAGTTTATTGTTGATTCTTTGTGTAAAACCTAAATATTGCAAAGTGTAGTGATTTAACAGGCCCATAATGGCTTTAGCTCCGATAGTTGTGGCAAGAATTGTTGCGCTGTTACAAGATAATGGGAATTGCAACGTGAGAATGCAAGAATTGTTGGTGCTAGCCTTTATGGTGTGCAAAGGGTGTACCAGCACTTTCTGGAGACTGGCCTGATCACTAGAAGACCAGGGTCTGGGCGAAAAAGAGTTACCACTTAACGAGATGACCGTTTTTTGGTGTCCACAAGTTTGCAGAATAGGACAGCTACTGCTGTTTCACTGCGAAATCAGTTGGAAGAAGTGAGAAATATAAACGTTAGTGAATGGACCGTTAGAAGAAGACTTCATGCTGCTGGACTGTCATGCAGAAGAATGGCTACAGGTCCCCCGTTGCAACGCCAGCATCGGACTGCAAGATTGACATTTGCCAGAGATCACGTTCATTGGAATGATGATGACTGAAGCTGGGTATTGTTCTCAGATGAGTCGCGTTTTTGCCTCACTGGGTCAGATGGACGTCGACGAGTGTGGAGAAGACCTGGGGAAAGATATGCTAAAGTTTGCATAGACGAGCGTCTTCCATTTGGCGAAGGGTCAGTTATGGTTTGGGCGGGAATCACTGCTCAAGCTCGCACAGAGTTGATCTTCATAGAAAATGGCTCCCTAACCTCTCACAGGTACATTACGGAAGTGCTAGAAGACCATGTTATGCCTTTCATGGTGACTATGGGAGAACGTGGCATTTTTATGCAAGATAATGCGAGACCACATACAGCCAAAATTGTCAGGGAGTATCCGGATGAGGTAGAAATTAGGCGGTTTGACTGACCAACCCGCAGCCCAGACATAAATACCATAGAACATGTCTGGGACGACGGATCCACAGACACACACCAGCACCAAGAACTGGCCAGGAGCTGAGAAGATTGCTGTTGCAGGAATGGAAAAACATCGACCAGAATGTGATCCGCAACTTAATTCAAAGTATGCCGCGCCGACTTCAAGCAGTCATCAATGCAAGAGGAGGGAATACACGTTATTAGTGTTATTATCAATCAGAAAAGATAAAACAATATCACTATATCCATAGTATTGAAGTTTTGCAAACAAAAGTTCGTGATCAATTAAATCGAAAGCTTTAGAACAATCGAAAGCAATTAGAACAACAGCAAGTCTTTTATCAATTGAACGAATAACATTGTCACAGACGTTTAGTAAGGAAGTAGTCATACTGTGCTGTTTTTCGGAAGCCAGATTGTTGTACAGGTAGGATTTTATGAGTAGTTAAATATTCAAATAACTGGTTATACACAATTCTTTCAAGATTCTTGGAAATAACAGGCAATAAGCTTATAGGACATAAGTCTTGTACTGAACTAGGATTAGATATTTTAGGAATAGGACAAATGACAGACTCTCTCCAAGTCCTTGGAAAATAGTTACACTGAAGGTAACAATCAATTATATGTGTTATGTGATCTAAGATAGTAGGTAGTAATGAATCTGAAGCCCTGTAGGTGCACTACTAAATGAGAACTCTCTATTCAAGAAAGTGTCCGATTTTGTAGATTTTTTGTCACAAAAAAGCCCGCACAGTACTACTGGGACAAGTGGCTCTTTGGTTGCGATATTCATATTCTAAGCGAATTATATTTAAATTTTTTGACTATTGTAATCTTGTCGTTCTAAAAATTACGTATTTTAAATTATTTCAAGGCCGTGAATGCTTAAGCATGTACAAAGATCTCAGATAAACAAATTAATAATAGATGCCTGACGGTCTGGATTTGTTTGAATCCAGTATGAACCGTTTTATCTATTACTTTCTCTTTCTCCATGGTCTTCGATGTGATTCGTCTATTTTAAATAGCAGCGCCAAAATTTTCTCACAACTGTCAATAAGCAGTTGGGAATTGTCAATTTTGATTTTAAAATTTCTGTTTATATATTCCCAGAACGCCTTATTAAAGTTTTTCAGTTTCTAGTGTGTTTTTTAAACGATATTTAT